GACAATAGAATCAACTGACCCTCCTTGGAGGGCCTGTCGTTTCCTCTCCGGATTTCCTCCTCTGACCCCAGGAGGCTGGGGTTCGAGTCCCTTTCTAAGACAACTGAGACTGGAGGCCACACAGCCAGTAGGAGGGGGACAGGGCTGGCCGGAGCTGTGGGACCCCCGTCAGCCACACCAGCTCACCACTGATTCCACTTGGTGTTCCACCCTACTTCCTGTGAACATGCAACACCCAGTTGCAAGTTAAGTAAAAGCAGCTTTCTAAAATGTCAAAACAGGGGGTAGAGGCACAGATCCAGTGCTTACTTTCTATAGCATTTGGAGGCCCCACCTTCACTCTGCCCAAACTTGCTGTGTGACCTGGGGAAAGTTATTTGCCCTCTCTGAGGCTCAGCAATAGGTCTTCCTGCTCTGCTACCCAAATATCCTCAGATCGGCACTTGCTTCACCTCCCAGTGGCTGTCCTGGGATTGTAGGTGACATGATTGGAGAAGATGTTGGGCTCAGACATCTCATCTGTGATGGAGGCAACAAGGGTTGAGACAGGGCCTGACATCATGCCCTGGCTCCTGGTCCTGCCATAGGCAGCCAGCACCACAAATCCTGCCAGCCAAGCCTCCAGGCTCTTGCTCTCTGTGGCATAGGTCACTTATTCATTCAACAAACATGTATTAAGCAGCCGCTAAGAGCCAGGTGGGTGGAGGCGGATGGAGACTTATGCACACTGGTCCTCGTACGAGGCAGACTGTGACTGTGTCCTGTGGGTGTGGGGAGCAAGAGAGAAGTCCTGCTCTGGGTGGGCTGCAGGAGGAGGTGGCCTTCGGGTGGGGCCTAAAGCCCGGGTGAAACTTTGATAGGTGAAGAGGGAGAGCACTGTGGATGGAGAGCACTGTATGGAGAGCACTGTGGATGGAGAGCACTGTATGGAGAGCACTGTGGATGGAGGGCTCAGCTTGAGCAAAGGCCTGGAGGGGGATAAAATTGCAGGGTGCATTCGGGGGCTAGGAGAACGCCAGGTGAGACTGGAGGGTACACATGTGGGAGATTCCACTGCAGGGTGAGTTGGGTCAGACCTGCGGGGCCTCAAATGCCAGGTGGAAGAGCTCAAACTTCCCCCTGGCGCTCTCAGCGGTGGGGCGAGCTCGGAGCGCCTCTCGGAAGGTCCCTCCGGCCCCGGCTCCTCTGCTTTCAGTCCAGTGAGGGCTGGGATGTGAGTTCTGCTTTTACAGAAATGGAAACTGAAGGCACAGAGAGGTGGACCGTGCGCCCACGGCTACACAGCTTCAGGGCCGCAGCTGAGGCCCAGGCCCTCTGCCGGGCAGGGCAGCGGGGACCGGCGTGCCGTGAAGGCGGGGCTGAACACCAGATGACCGGGTCCGTTCTTCCATCTGCAAAATGGACACATTGGGAGGGCCTCCCCCGGGATGGGCCACCCGCCACACTCCCTCTCTAAGGGCCTGAAGGGTCACGCCTGCCCTTTGACATTTTCTCGTCCCCTGTCCTAACACGCCGACCTCGCCCCCTCCCACCTCCGGGGAGTCTGGTCTCTGCTCCCGGGGCTTCCACATGCCAGACGCTGCTCATCTGCCATGAGTCACCCGTTGGTAGGAAAGCCCTTCACATGTCCCCTCAGGGTCCCACCCGCTACTGCCCTACCCTCCCTCCCAGCTCAGTCATCCAGGGCCGTCTCTGGCGTGGCAGTCCCTTGTCCCTGGGAAATGGCTGAGCCCAACCAGGGCCTTGGAGCCCAGTTGTGCTGTGTGACCTCAGGCGGCTTCCCCAACTTCTCTGAACCTTAGTCCTTCCCTTTTCTTCCTTTCCTTCCTTCCTTCTCTCCTTCCTTCAACTCTCTCTGACTCATCCCTCCCTCTCTCATGCTGCAAACATTTATTGACCGTCTACTGTATACCAGACACCATGGGTCAGAAGCGCACACCACCTGCCCATCTCTTGCTAAGGGCTATAGGACTGGACATGACATAGGCCCCTGAGGCCTCACCCCTGCGGGGCAGGGAGCGAATAGGACTGACCTCTGAACCGTGTTAAGCCAGCACAGGTTTTTGAACCAACCCCACGTTCCATGTCCCCACTTCCTGACTGGGTGACCCCAGGCAAGTCGCTTCACCTCTCTGAGCCCCAGTTTCTGATGTAACAAATGACAGGAATCCTATTGTGAGACTGAAATGGGACGCCTGGCTGGTAACGGGCTATTCAAAAGTTCTGAAAATTCACCTTTGTCTCCACCCTGAGGCCCGGAAGTCCTTACAGAAGTCGGGGACTGGTCTCCCTAATGGTGGGGTTCAGGCCACAGTCTGTGACCTTGGGTACAAGGCTTATCTGGGAGGTGGGCCTCCTTCTGAGCACTCCCCCCAAATATTCTAGGTTGTCGGCAGCCTGCTTCACCTACACACAGGAACCTCCCTTTGAGGGGGAAAGGGGGTCCTGACTCTTGATGACATCAACAGAAAACGTTTTAGGAGACATTTATTGAGCGCTTACTGTGTGCCCAGCACTGAACAGACATTATCTCTAATTCCCAGAGGTGGTGACTCTTATACCCATTTTACAGAGAAGGAAAAAGGCTCAGAGAGGTTTAGTAACTTGCCCAGTGTCACACAGCCAAGAGTGACTGCAGATGCGCCCTGATCTAACCATTGCACGGCACTTCCCCTGCATGGGATAATGAAAGACCCCTGCCTACACTGTCTGGGGATGTCAAATCCATAACCACTCTCTCTAGGCATCAGTTTCCCCCTCAGTAAATGGAGTTTTGAATCCTTAGTTGCCCAATGAGGTGAGACAAAGCAGGGTTTCCCAGCCCCTCTGAACAGATGGGAAAACTGAGGCCCAGACTGGGGCAAGGGCTTCTGCCTGGTCACCGGGCTGGGAGTCCAGGTCTCTGGGCCCAGCCTGGGCTCTGGCCTCTGCCTGCCACTTCTCGAGCTCGGCCTGTTGGGGATTGCTCAAGGACTGTCGCTCAGGTGGCCACAGTTCTCTGGAACAGGGGGAGGAAGGACGAGGAGGCAGCTGACGGTGACGGAGGCCCGGGGCTGGGCCGAGCCTCACGCGGGGCACCAGGAACATCCTGACCGTGTCCTAAAAATACTCTGGGTGGATTCCTGCCCCCTGGGGAGCCCCAGGCAGGGGCCAATGAGGGGAGAAGAGCGCGGCGCTTTCACGTGGGAAAGGGTAGACAAAGGCCAGAGGCAGCCTTCCGTTCCGGGCAGGGCTGACTCTCACAGGAACACGCCACCTGCAGCCTTCCTGCCGCACAGCCTGACTGTCCGTGGGCCTCCTGTTTCCCTTTGAGGTCCCCGTCTCTCGGGCCAGGTTCTGGGACACTGGCACGTTTATTCCAAAGCTCAGGGACCCTAGTTACCCACTGCTCCCTGCATACCGGGAACTTGACCTGAGTCATTTGGGTTGAGTCTTACTCCACGCCTGTGAGGGAGGAATTCTTGCCCCCATTTGACAGAGGGGGAAACTGAGGCCTGGAGAGCCAAAATACCTGTCCACGGCCAGGACCAGATGGCTGGTCCAGGTCAGAGTGGGAACTCCACCCCTGGCTTCTCCAGCCACGTTCACTCACCCTGCTCCTTCCCCTGGGCTCCCGCCAGCCGCCGGGAGCAGTTTCTGCAGAATAACTGCAAAATGGGGCACTTACAGGCTCACCCACGGGGTACCTGGCAGGTCAGTGGGGTCCAAGACCACGACATGGGTTCGTTCCCTAAGACCCCAGGCAGGGCCCGCTGACCCAGGGACAAACGTCCATTCCCTGTGCTGTGTCACACAGGAATGGAAACAGGGCCAGTCTTGCAGCTCAAATCCGTCAATAGACGTGGAATTTATTTTGGAAAAAGGGCTGGGGGGGGCCCACGGGCACCTGTCTCTCCAGGGACCTGCCCTACTTGGGCCTCATGGTGGGTAAGAAGCATAGGAGGCCGGGAGACCAGAGGGACCAGGATGGCAGTGGGCCCCCCAGGGTGCTGGGTTTGAGGGGTCAGAGGCTGAGTCCCTGGAAGGTTGGCTTTGTTCCCTTCTGGCACACAGTGGGCCTGCAAGGATCATCAGGGAAGGGGGCGGGTGGTCCGTGGATAGATGGATGGGTAGGTGTGTGGGGTGGTGAGTGGACGGATGGACGGACGGATGATTCGATGGACGGAGGGACAGAAGCGATAGGCAGATTATCTTGGTTTTGCTATAGGAAGAGGTGTTGCTGTGTCTTTGGAGGTATGTCTGTATGTCTGTACCTGGGTCATATCTGTGTGTGTGCCCATCTCAGAGAAGCTGCATTTTCGTGTGTCCATAGGTGCCCCAGTCTGATTTTGTGTCCACGTCCGATGACGTGTTGGTGTCTGCGAGGTCCTTCTGTGTGTGTCTGTGATCTGGGTACATCTGGACACCCGCTTATTTGTATGTGGTTCTTGGGGGGTACCTGTCCGTGTGTGTCTGGCTGTGTCTCTGTCCTGGAATGTCTCTGTGATTTAATCTGATTTTGTGTCCACGTCACTGTGCCTTTGCGTCCCAGTTTATCTGCTGTATCTGTCAGAGTGCATCTGTGTCTCTGTGTGTCCACATTCCTGTCTCTGATTGTGTGTCTGTGTCTGCTCTGTGTGTAGCTGTATCTGAGTGTGTATGCGTCTTCTTGACCCCGGGTCTGACCTGACTATGGGTCCGTGTCTTTGTATCCAGGTGTGCTATGTGTCCTGGTGCACCTGTGTGTCTGTCTCTGCGTGTGTGTATTTCTGTGTCCAGGTTTCTCTGTTCCCCAAGGTCTGATCTGTGTGTCCAGGTGTGTCTGTGTGTCCTGTTCTAATTGTGTGTCCCAGTCCTGCGCTCTGCCCATTCCCCCAGGGGGCGCCCTCGCCCGGCTGAGGCTCCCTCCCTCCCCCGGGCTCCTGCCCCCGGGTGCGCCCCAGTGGGCTGGCTGAGCGCTAACGCGTGGGCCCGACTGGGCAGTGGTGGCCTCACCAGGTCCCCGCCTCCCCGCACGGCCCCGCCCCCGCCCTCCCAAAGCGGGCTATAAGTTCACACTGCTCTCGGCCTCCGCAGTGCCTGCCGCTGGGGGTCTGCACTTGGAGGGTCCTGCCAACAGTCAGAGGAGCCACTGCCACCTCCCACCATGGCCCAGGGTAAGTCTCAGGATGGGCACAGCCGCCACTCAGGGCCCCACACCTGGCCATCCCTCCCTGGTCTCAGTGGTCCCACGGGTGCAATGGAGGGTCAGGACCCCACTGGGGCTCAGTCCCCAAGTCCCGGATTTGGAGAGCAACAGGAGGGCTGGGCTGGATGAGAGGGGCCTGGCCCCGGGTCCTGGCTCAGCCTGGGGCCTCAGTTTCCCCATGCCCAGGGCATAGTATTAACCCTTGCCTCCCTGGACCAGATGAGGCAATGGAAGGAGTGTTGTAAATTACGGTGCCAGTGGGCCATTGTCACCTGCCCTCAGCTAGCGGGGGCTGGGTCCCTGCTGTGTGCCAGGTGGCACGAGGCTGTGCAGAGGGCGCTGGCCCGGCCTCAGAACACTCCGCTTTAGTTATTCCCTGCCAGCCGGGAGGAGGTGTGCGTGCTGTCCCTGGTCGTGGGCCAGCCAAGCCTGGCTGACTCGTTGCCCCGGGGGCCAGAGAGGAAGTTCCAGCATCCTCTGGGGAAGCGGGCTGAGAGCAGGCGTGTTCTCGCAGGTCCTTTCCAGCCCTCGAGTTCTGCAACCCTAGTCCTTGGCCACCTGCTGAGTCTCAGTTTCCTTTCCTGTAAAACATGGACAATAATGCCAGCCCCTGGTATAGCTGTGAGGGCTGCGAGGCGTGGCGAAGGGGCTCAATTAATTGCCTACCTGTGCTCCTAGATACACGGACACACAGACACACACACACAGACACACACACAGAGACAGCGCTCCTGTCCCAGGGGAGGGAGTCCTCCAATGGAGCAGGTCCTGCACTAATGCTGCTGGACCCAGTGTCCTTGCCGACTCCCAGGTCGAGTCCATCTGGAGATGGCCTCTGCACCACTGCACCCCCAGGAAGGAGACGTGGGGCCAGGGATGTGGGGCAGGAGACGGGACAAGTGGAGCAGGGACAAGCAGGGGGACCAGAACCCGCCTGACCCGCTGTGTGATCTCGGGCCACCTTTGTCCCTCTCTGGGACCCAGCTCCCCACACATGGGATCGAAAACCAGCTCAGGACTGGCTGTGATGGTCACCTTGGTGGCCACTTGTCCCCAGTGCAGTTTCCCACTCCTGTCCCCATGGGTGGGGTTCAGTGGGGCTGGGGGACCCTGGAGATGCCAGTTATGATGAGCCCCCTGCCCCAGTGTCATTGCGACCACTTCCTCCAGGGGTCCTGCTGGCCTGGAAGGCCCCCGGCCCTTTCTCAGTGCAGGGAAATCCCATGAGTCTAGACCCCAAGTTCCTGCACCTTTGGAGTCGGGCGTGGTTTCTGGAAGTGCTTCTTCAGACAACAGCCTGAGAAAGTGCCCCACCTGCCCCAGACCAGGCACTGACCGTCTCTCAAAGGTCTCCCAGCGGTCAGGGGTGGCCTCTGTCCTGCTTAAACACACTGGAGTAGAAGTTTCCAAAAGCAATATTTTTTCACCCCAACAGGAAGCTCTTCCTCGTGGCCAGCGGAGGTCTCTCCTGCTGTGCTTGCAGCGGTCACCTCCCCCCTCTCTCCTCCCAGGCTGAGAACAACATGGACGTGGGAGGGAGGGGGTGGGGGAGGATGGGGGAGGGGTGGAGATCAAACCCTGAGGGCCTGCCAGGCGGGTACCAGTATCTACAGCCCTGGGTCACACCCCAGGGCCGCACAGTGTCTCCTCTACAAAACGGAGACAGCGACAGTGCTCCGTGAGTGAAGACGATCCACGCAGAAGCCTCTGCGGTCAGTGGGCATTTGCACCTCACTTTTGGGGTATTCCGTGGCAGGAGGCAGGAGACCTGGGGCCATGTCCCAGAGGAAGGGTCGACTTGCTGGGCGACTTTGGGCAAATCCCCCCTCCCCGGGCCTCAGTTGGACCACATCCTCTCCAAGGGCCCCACAACCCTGAGTCTGTCTTGCCCCCTCCCCACACCCTACCATCTTCCTAACCTGGAGCTTGAGCTCGCCAAGGTTTGTGAGGTTTGTGCTTCCTTCAGACCCCCACCCGCCCATCACCCCACCCCTTCCCTGGTCTTCGGCTCCCTCTGAAGCTATGAGTAGAACTGTCACATATCAAGCTTTTGCCCTGGGCTAGGCCCTAGGGACAGGGTGTCCCCATAGCCTCTCCTAGACCTCACAGCAGCCCTGAGGCTTCAGAGAAGGAGGCACAGAGAGGGAGAGACACTAGTCCAGAATCACACAGCAGCACAGCAGAACTGAAAAGCAGGTCCGGAAGACTCCCAAACCCCTGTCATTTTTAGAACCTTTTATTACAGAGAATTTTGAACCTACGTAAAAATAGAGAGACCAGAATAATAAACGCCTATGTTCTCATCACTCGGTCCCAACGACCTCCAGGATATAGATACTCCTGCCTCCTGTACACCCTGTCTCCCCCTCCCATTATTTGGAAGCAAATTCCAGACATCACATCGTTATTTCATCTGTAAATATTTCAATACATATCTCGAAAGGATAAGGACTCTTTTTTAGACATAAACAAATTAGCAAAAATCCCCTAATATCACCATTATTCCATCAGTGTTCAAATTTCCAGTTGTCTTATATGTGTAATAAATATTTTTAAATAGTTTTTTAAAATCGAGATCCAAATAAGGCCCACACAACACGATGGCTCGGAACATCTCTTCAGTTCCTCTTAATCTATGCGTTCTCCCTCCAACTTTTTTTTTTTCGTTTTTTTTCTTGTAACTTATTTGTTAGAGAAACCAGAGCCTTTGCTTATAGTTTCCCAGAGCATGAATTTTGCCGATTGCATCCTGATTCCGCCTTTAAGATGTTCTTCAGTCCTGTGTATTTCCTGTAAATTGAAAAGTGAACCCGAAAGGCAAAGCCTGTGTCACTAACCCATGCCGAATCCCGCCCCTGCTTTTGCCGAAAGATGTCTCCAGTAGCGATAGAAGATCTCGTGTTCTTGTCGTTGGTGCCATGGAGTTCACTGCGACTCCTGGGGCCCCGCGGACAGCAGAGCGGGGCCCCACCCGGGCTTTGTGGGCCGCCCTCTCACCTTCTGGTGCTCTATCAGATAATGCTCCGCTGCTGGTCTCAGGGTTTTCATGGCCAGTCTTTTCAGAAGTGGGTGCCAGGTCCTCCTTCTTAGTCTGGAAGCTCCGCTGAGACCTGTCCACCATGTGTGACCCTGCTGGTATTTGATATAGCGGTGGCAGAGCTTTCCGCATCACAGCAACACGCAGCTGCCACAGTGTGACAACCCACAGACGGGTGGTGTGGTTCCCTGACCAGAAACGAACCCGGGCTGTGGTGGTGAGAGTGCCGGATATTAACCTTAGGCCACCAGGGCTGGATAGCTTGTGTTTAGTAAGAATTTGTTACGCGCCGGGCGCCATGCTAAGTGGCTCACAACAGCCCTGTGAGATGGGTCCTGCTGTCCCCAGCTGTGGGCAGATGGGGAAACTGAGGCCGGGGACAGCTGAGTTGCCTGAGGTCACACAGCTGGGAGGTGACAGAGGCTTCTCCCAACAAGCCACAGTGGGCACAACTTTCTGATTAAGAGTTAGGGAGATTCGGCCCCAGCCCGCCTCTGGGGGATGGGGTGGGTGGGGGGTTGGGAGGGGACGGGCTGACAGCCATTGTCTAGAGAGGGCTGGCTCCCTGGAAGGGCCTGAGGGCCCCCACATCCCGGGAGCGCAGGTGTGTGTCCGGGGGTCACAGCTGGCTGAGGAATGCCGCCACGGCTCATGCCCTCCTGTTCTCTCTGTAGATCTGATTCTGGGGAGATGTGACCTGGAGCTGGAGGCCAATGGCCGTGACCACTACACGGCCGACCTGTGCCGGGAGAGGCTGGTGGTGCGGCGCGGCCAGCCCTTCCGGGTGACGTTGCACTTCGAGGGCCGAAACTACGAGGCCAGTGTGGACAGCCTCACCTTCAGTGTTGTGACGGGTGAGTACCTCCCCCCGTCCACCCTGACCTGCCCTGTCCTGTGGTATCACCGTCTCCTGACGGACAACGGGACAGGCGACTCCGTTCCTCTTTGCTCCCTGTGAAATTCCCAGCAGTCACTAACCAAATTTTACAGATGAGGAAACTGAGGCCCCAGGTCACGCAGCCTTTAATCAAGTCTGTGCTCCTGGACGCCAGGGTTCCTGAAAACCTGCGATCACCAGGGTTGGGGGTCAGCGGGTCCATCAAGACCTCGCTTGCTGTTTCCCATATCAAAACAACTTTCCAACTCTTATCGACAGCCACTTCCCCAAATCCACACAACGTGACCAGGCCTCTGGGATCAGGCCCAAATCGTGTCTGGCGGTGGAGAGAACCCAGCTGGCTCCAGCCCTCTGGGTGGGCAGTTTTGTGTTCTGTTTGTTTCTTCTCCAAGCCTCGGGAGGCTATCTCAGGCTCAAGGGCTGGACAGACAGACCCGGATTCTGGTGCCGACTGGGTGGATTACCTGCTGTGTGACCCGGTGCATGTTGCTTAGCCTTTCTGAGTCTGAGCTTCATCATGTGGAAAGCACTCACGGAGTGAAAAGGACTCTGGGAGGTTGTTAAATGAGAGGGGCCTGACATGGAGGAGTCCCCTGCAGATGTTAGCGACTGTTGCTGGTCTCGCTCCATGGGTGAAGGGATGTTGAGACCCAGTCACCCACCCCCGGATGCCCAGCACCCAATCTTCTTTCTACACCATTCCTGGAAAAGTGGCCTTGAATGTCAAACTGGTTGGTTTGGCTTCTGGTGGGACCCAAGCCCTGGAGGTCGCCAGCAAGGAGCCGCCTGACTGGGACTGTGACCCAGGGGTGGGAAAGGCCGGCTCTGTCTGAGATCTCCGGGGGCACAGAGAGCAGCAAGCGGGCTGCGGCCTGCATTTACCTGGGAGGCCGTTTGATAAGGCTTATCACAGCGCCTGCAGGCTGACCCAGACACCCCTCCATGCCTTTCTTCTCCTACCCTCCCCTTCTGGGACACCCACTGCCCAGGGACACCCACACACGTACCCAGCACCCTTGGGGCCCTTCCTAACAGACCAGAGTGGCCTCCAGCAAGTCTCTGATCTTTCTAGCCTCAGTTTCCCCCCTGTAAAGTGGAAGCTTGGGGTACACGACTGGTAAGGGCTGTGTATGGCACCCTGAGAAGAGTCAGGCTTGGGGTGATGAAAATCTCAACACTTTGGAGCACCGACTGGATGCATGCTCATCCTCAGTCCTCCCATCTCGGAAGCATTGTGAACCCCCACTTGACGGATGGGAACACTGAGGCTCAGAAAGGGCAAGTTACTTGCCCAAGTCACACAGTGAGTTAGGGACAAAGCAAGGTTTAAACCATGACCCCAGAGTTGAGGCTTTTCGTTGCTGTGACCCCGCAGCAGACACATTTTGCTCTTCCCCGCAAGAGCCGGCCCAGCCTCACGTGATCCTCTGTGGCGTGGAGTGGTAGTGACCTACCCGCTCCGGCAGCCTGCGATTTCCCACCATCATGTTTGTCCTCCCGCTCTTTAGGTGTTTCCTTTCTCTCCTTCTCCATTTGTGGACGCAGCCTGTCATTGGGTAATTAAGGGCCCCAAGTTCAGGGTTGGTGGGGCAACTGACCTTCCCACCCCAGCAGCTAATCTGTGTTTTCCAGTCTCCCACCGACTTATCTCAAACCAGCCCCGCCCTGCCCTGGTCACTTCCACTGCCCCCGGGCAGCCACAGAGGGCACTGTATCTCTGGGTGCACACGGCTTCCTCGGTGGAGCAGCCGAGACCCTCCCGGGGGCTGAGGAAGCCCGAGGGACAATACCAGGAAGCTCGGCCCCCACCTCAAGGCCAGCAGCCAGCCCCAGGCCTGGCCTGGGGACCGTGCTCTTGTGTCGGAACATTCTGGCTTGTGGTCAGCCTGTCCGACCTCTTCAGGGCAACCGAGGTCGGGAGAGAGGAGGGGGCTGGCCGGGGTGGCACAGTGAATGGAGTGCGTGGCCTGACCCCACGCGTGCCCAGATGCTGTGTGCTTCACCCAGACTGTGCGGGACCCAACGGCTCGGTCACGGGCACAGAGCACAGTAGACGAACGCTGTCTTATTTCTGGGGATGAAGCTCTGCCTCCCTCCAAGGAGGGGTCCAGGGCTTGGAGGGTGAGTGGGGTGGGTGTGAAGTCAGCCTGAAGGAGTGAAAGGGACCCTTATGAAGCTAAGAGAAGGGTTTCCTCTGCCAGGCTCCCCTTATGCATCCTGCCCTGGCCCCTGCCACTGTGGTCTGGGGTAGTGGCCAGGCCCCCTCGGGTCTCCAGGGTCATTTAGGTCCAGAGGGGTCCCTGTGGTGTCTTTGGCCCCTCAAAGATTACTGTCTGGAACCATAGCCAAGGAAGTTTCAAAGCTTCCACAGCAGCAGTGGGGCCGGGGCAGCCCGTCTGCCTCCCACCCGACAGAGCCCCTCACAAGAAAGGGGGGCGTGCACGTGTGTGTGCGTGTGTGTCTGCACCGTTGCCCTGGGACAGAGAAAAAGGGAAACAGTGTTCCCTGTCCTGTCCCCAGGGTGGTATTTCAACAGTGACAGCAGCTACGGGACCTGGCCCAGGCCGTTACCATGGTGACCAGATCATTGATCGTCCAAAAAGGGACATTTCTGAGAATGAAAGGGGTGCCATTAAGAACTACGCTGGGACCACAGTTATAGCCTGGGACTGTCCCAGGTGAACAGGGACATGTGGACACCCCAACTTCACCCCCTCCACCTCAGTTCCCATACCTGAGAGGTGATTCAACTGAACTAGACAATTTCCACATTCCATTCCAGTCTTCAAAGTCTGTTATTTGGCCTGAGAATTCTGACTTGTAATGGTCCGTTTTGATGACAGGACGGCTCACATTGACTCCATAATTACTATGTGCTGGTCACCGTTTTCAGTGCTTTCTATGAACTCTCTTACTGACGCCTCTAACGGCCTCAGGAGCGGGTGGGGACACTGATAAACAATACTTACTGTTTACTAAGCATCTATTATGTGCCAGGCACCTTGCAACGTGCTTGATGCGCCCCATCTTCTTTAAGCCTCACAATGACCTCATGAGAAGGTACTGCAATTGGCCCCGTTTTACAGATGAGGAAACTGAGGCACAGAGAAGCTAAATAGCCTGTCCAAGGTCACAGAGCCAGTTTGAGACCTTGAATCAGACCTTCTCAGGCATATGGTCTAAGCCTATTTTTTTCTTTGATGAGAAAATTGCAGATCAGAGAGGCCTGGTGACTTAGCCCAGGTCACACAGTGCTTGGGGTCTGAGCAGGGGACACAGACCCAGGCTGGCTCTTGGGCCCCCACACTGCCCGACCCCTCCCCCAGACGCCAACTGTGGAAGACAGGGGTTGTTTAAAGGCTTACAGCTGGCTCCTGGCACCCAGACAGGGCCCGGAGGCCTGTGTCATGCCTGTTAGTTCATGGTTATATTTGGGCCTGGGTGTGGGTGGGGCCGGCCAGGGGAAGCAAGGGGCTGGGTGCTGGGAGGGAGCCCCTTGGTGCGCAGGCCCCCACACTGTCAGCAGGAGGTGGGCAGAGCTGCAGGGAGGGAGATGGAAGAATAAAAATAAACCCTCCTGGGCAGCTGTCCAAGCAGGCAAGGAAGGTTCTGTTTCTTCTCTCCAACACCCAAGTCCAGAAAGGGTGGCCAGCCCCCCGGCCCTCCCCGTAACTCAGCCCTGCCTGCCTGGGCCGGGCCCTCCCCTCCCCTCCCCTCCCCCTGCAAAAGCAGTCAGTCAAGGCGGGCCATTTGCCTCGCCGAGCCTGGAGACCCCCAGGGAGCGTCCTCTGGGAGTGAGCGTCACCATGGGGGACAGCCCAGAGCCTAGAGACCTGGGCTCAGGCGCCGACTTGGCCGCAGACCCCGGGATACCCTTGGAGACCCCTCCTCTCTGAGCCTCAGTTCTCCCTCCTGTACCAGGGGTCTCAGGGGAAGCAGGAAGGGACAGGCACTTCACCACATTGGGAGGTGATGGATGGTTATGACCAGCTCTTCGGAGCTGCGCGTGGAGACACAGAGGCCGAGATGTGGAGGGGCCCTGGGGAGACAAACACGTAGAACTGTATCGGCCAGCACCCTCTGCTAGCCGGCAGCAAGGGGCTCTCAGACAGGCCCCTGAAGGGACATCAGAGGACCAAGGTCACATCCTACTCAGAGTCAAGCCTTCTTTTCCTGAAAGGGAAAGCAGGACGCTAGCAGGTAAAGGATCTAGTAGGTAAAAGACATTCCCTTGGGCAGCATCTTGCCTAATTCCTATCCATGCTACAGATGGGCAAACTGAGTCCAGAGAAAGGGATGGTCTTGTCCAAAGTCATGCCAGCCCAGAGCAGTGTAACGGAGACCCTGCCCCAGGCTGCACTGTCCCCTCTCCCAGGAGGAATCTCCCAGGAAGTTGAGGACCTGCCGTGTGCCCGCAGCTTTTCGTGCATTCCCCAAAACTACCCTGCAGGGCTGGGGTCAGACCCCGCTTTACAGATGAGGAAACCAAGGCTCAGGGAGATGACACCTCTTGCTAAAGTTCCCTCAATGGTTTGTGGCAGAACTGGGCCTTGAACCTAGGTCCATGGGACCCTAGGCGTGTGCTCCGCCCTCCCACGCCCGTCACCACCCGTGGCTCATGGCCCTGCTTTCTCCCTCCGCAGGCCCAGCCCCCAGTGAGGAGGCAGGGACCAAGGCCCGCTTCCCGCTGTCCGACGCTGTGGACGAGGGTGCCTGGACGGCCTTGGTGGTGGACCAGCAGGACAGCGCCCTCTCGCTGCAGCTCAGCACCCCAGCCAACGCCCCCATCGGCCTGTACCGCCTCAGCCTGGAGGCCTCCACTGGCTATGAGGGCTCCAGCTTCGTGCTGGGCCATTTCACCCTGCTCTTCAACCCCTGGTGCCCAGGTGAGCCACACTCTGTCCATGGGCAGAGCAGGGAGATGGGCAGGGCCATAGACACATCATGGGGGCCACTGAGGGTGGGGAAGGGGGCAGAAGAGACGTCAAAGCGGATTGAGTGAGGCCCACTCCGTGCTCCAGCCTCCCAAAACCCTTGTGGTGTGAGCGTTCTTATTATTCTCATTTACAGCTGAGGAGACAGGCTCACCAGAGCAAAACGACCTGCCCAAGTGCACACAGCTGCCAAGGGATCCCGCCCATGTCTGAGGCCCTGTGTTCCCATGGCACTGTGGCTGGGCACAGCGGTGGCCCAGGTTCAGAAGCCCTGTTCAGGAACAGGATGCCAAGCGGATGCCCAGGGCCGCGGCTCCGTGCCCGGCTCTGTTTCGTGGGGCTCTGTTTAAATCTCACCAGACTGACTTGGGAAGGGGAAACTGAGGGAGGTGGAGGCGGGGGCAGCCAGGAGAGGTAGGCAGGTGCAGTTTGGTGACTTAAGTGCCTCCTTACACGCTCTCTTTTATTCCTCTCAACAATCCCAAGGGGGAGATGTCAGCATCCTTATTCACAGACAGGAAACTGAGGCTCAGAGAGCTTGAGTGTCTTTTAGCAGCTCCTTCAGTAAGTAAGTGGACAACCTGGACAAAACCGGAGGCAGAGAAGGAGCTGAGGCTGTCTAGAGCAGGAGGGAGGAGGCAGGGGCCTCAGTTTCCCCATCTGACTGTTTCCTTCCTGCTCCTACACAGCAAGGCAGAGAGAGAGGCCTCATGAGTGGGCCCCAGCCAGCGACTGGGCTGTCCCTCCTCAGAGCCTGGGCCCAGGGCAGAAATTCTGGCCTCTCCAGCGTCAGACGACCAGCTTCTTACTGGACCACTGCTTTATTTTTTCTTTTCCATTTTGGGGCATTTTATAACATATTTGAGCAGAAAGGTTTTTTATTTTCTGTTTTACATACTTTGGTTTTTATTTCTAATTATAACAGTAAGACATGAGAACATCCTCTTTATAAAAGCTTCAGGCACTACAGAGAAACAGCTCCCCTTGACTGCCCTCCTTGGGGAACGCCATTATCAGCCGTCTTGGGGGCTCGACCCCTTAGATTTGAGGGTATGTGCTGGAGACATCTCTGTATTAATGGGTCTCTCTGTCTCTTGAACACAAAAGGACCCCATAGTATAATGCATCAGCCCACGACTTGGTTTGCTTTTTCCCTCTACGCTGAGTCTTGCGCATCTTTCCATCCCGGTCTGCATACAGCTGCTCGGTCTTTTGAAGAGCTGGGAGTGCCCCATATCTTGCCCATGTGAATGATCCGTTTATCTGCCCCCTCCCCCCCCCCCCCCCCCCCCCCCCCCGCCCACAGACCTGAGGTCGTCCCAGGGGCTCATCACAGGATGGGTGTCGCAATGAACACCCTTGATCACGTGCCCTGTGGCCACATGGAATCGTTTCTCGGGACAGAAGTGGCCTCGCTGGACCCCACTGGAAGCTCCTTTCGGTTTTCGTCTGCAGAGCTACCAGCTAGTGGGCAGCACTGCCGGTGGAGCGGGATCACGCCAGTGTCCCCACCCCCACCAACACCGCGGGGGCCAAAGGCCAGGGAACAGGGAGCAAGGTTCTGGGGGAAGTCCCCCTTCCTCTGGCCCTGCCCCCGCCCAGCCCTGCGGGTTGAGGGGAAGTCAGCCAAGCAGCAGACTGACTACAGTGACCCACATCCCAGGCAGGGAGCTGGCTCAGTGGGGGTGGGGGCGCTGGCGAGAAACGAAACCACTGTCTGCCTGGGAAACGACCCTTCCTGCCCCTGAACTCCAGCATGGACGGGATCCAGCCCCCACCTTTACCAGACTGAGACCTGAGCTGGGAACATCACAGTCCTGGCTTCTCGGGCTGGGGTGGGGACAATTCCTCCACCTGTGCTGGCACTCTCATTCCGATGGCGAAACACCGTGGGTTCTCCTTTCTCTTTCACTTTCTCCACCTGCCAGATGGTTTCCAGACACCCGGTTCGTTTCTCTTCAGGCTATTTTTATTGCTCCGTCTCCCGAGCCAAAGCGCAGGACACATCAGACACTCGGCCACTTCCCCATTTACTTTCCTCCTGGGATGGTAAAGGCCAGCCTGACCTTTGACCTCCTGCCATCTGGCCCCAACCGCCTCAGCCCATTTTCCGTTTTCCGTGGTCACTAGCCACAGGGAGCTAAATGCCCTGCACGTTCCTGCAGCCGCACCTTTGCTCTCTCTGCCACCCGCTCCAGGCAGCCCTCTCTGACCCCCAAGCTGGACTGGTCCCCCTGCCCTGAGCCACAGCGACCCTCTCTTTCTCTCCACCCTGATTCGTGCTCCCGCCTCCCACTGGCTCGTGCTTTAGCTTGCTCAGCGCCTTTCAGATCTGCCATTGCATCTGACTCCCGGGGAACATGGTGAGGCCGGTGGAGGAGCGACCTGGCCAGGGTCACACAGCAGGGGAGGATCGGAGCTCGGGGCTTGCTGACTGCTGATCCAGAGCCCCTCTGTCTCCTGTTTCGGCATCAGTTTCCCCATCTTGAGCCTCAGTTTCCCCATCTGTAAAATGGGGCTTTCAAGGACCCCCTCCTCACAGGGCTCTTATGGAGATTAAATGAGTTAATACACGTCACACGCTTAGCTTATCGCACTTGGCGAGTGTTGGATAAATAGCAGCCGGCCATTGTTGTCACTAGCTGATAACGCCTTATCTTGTTGATATGGGGTTGTTAAATAATGAGTAGTTTTTCTGATTAAAAGATAGAAGGGCCTCGGGGAATCGGCGTGGCCCTGGGAGTTGGCACCCTGGCTGCCATGTCTCCTGGGCCCCTGGGCCCCGCCAGACCGGGAGCTGAGCCCTTTCCTTCCCGCCCGCAGCCGACGCTGTGTACCTGGACTCGGAGCAGGAGCGAGAGGAGTACGTCCTCACCCAGCAGGGCTTCATCTACCAGGGCTCGGCCAAGTTCATCAAGGGCATACCCTGGAACTTCGGGCAGGTAGGGCCACGGCCCGTCCCTCCCAACCCTCTCAGGCCTACCGTGTGCCAGGTCCTGGGTCTGAGGCAGCAAAGCTACAAAGGCGAGAGCAGGTCTCAGAGTCACCCACCCGAGGCTGTCAGGGATTCAAGGGCTCTGAAATGGCCGGAGGATCAGAGAGGGCCCAGGCCAGACCTGAGGTCACACAGCAAAGGGTTGCCCCGCCCAGCGTGGGAGCAGCAGCCCCAGATTCAAGACAGGAGGGAATTAGGAGAGCCTTTGGGCGCTGTGGGGCTGGCAGGTGCTCTGGGAGGGAGACGGGGAGCGTGCAAGGCCGTGTGTCAGAATAACCGGCAGCACGGGGAGAACGCTGACTGTGTGCTGGCCATGAGCTGAGAGGGGTTTTAAACCATCATCTGGATCAGAGGTTCCCAAACCTGAAGATTCATCAGCATCACGGAAAAGTGTGTGAAAACACGGATCGCCGGCTCCCAGCCCTAGTTGCTGATTCAGTAGGTCAGTAGGCTGTGGGCTGAGAGTTGGCATTTTTAACAAGTTCCCAGGTGATACTGTTGCTGCTGAACCAACGTCCACACTTAGAGCCACTGGTCTGGCCGCATCGGCTAGCTACTGTGAATAACGAGCAAGCCCCCAATTTACAGGCTTCAGACAACAACCATCCTGTGTTTCTCAGAATCGATGGGTTGCCGGGGCTTGGCTGGTCTCAGCCGGATGGCTCCCCTCAGTCCTGTGAGGGTCCTCGTCCTCCAGCAGGCCAGCCTGGACTGGTTCTCCACACCAGCGCTCTGCTGCGTCCGCCATCCAGCCTCCCATGCGCATTCTTGAGATGCTGCTGACAAAACTCGTGAAGCAAGAACCATCACCCCCTGGCCCCTCAACGTCCTGGAGTGTTAGGGGGGCTGGCCTCCTGGGGTAGAGGTCACCTTGAGACTTCTCCCAGCAGCCCCTGCATCTGGGTCGGTGTTCAGCTCTAGAGAGTCTAGCCCTGGGATCACAGGAAAGTCCTCCCCACGGGAGTTGGGGCTCTAACCTCGGTTTTCTCATCTGGATATTGGGGATAATAATTGCAAAAATACCTGCCTGGGAACCCGGTAGCCTGCTGTGGGAGGTAAATGGAATGATGGTGTGACTCTGGTGCATAAAATACATCAGAAAACGAATGGCTCTATTTCCCAGGGCTCTGTATTCTCCCCTGAGAAACAGACCAAGCCCAGTCCTCACTTTCGTTTCCTGAGTTCCTGATCTGTGTCCAGGCCGTGGGACACAGCCCTCGCAAAGCTTGCGGAAGTCATCACGATCCCGGACAATAAGACCAAAAGGAAGGAAGGGGTTACTGCCCAGGAGGGTCAGGGCAGGTCCTGAAATAGCAGCATTTCAGCTGGGCTTTGAAGGAGGTCACGCCAGGCAAAGGGACCTGGTGGACGACAGCTCGGAGCGGGAAGCTCACGTTGTGCCGGAGAGGAATTCTGTCGCTGGGGGAGCACATTCTGTGGGAAGGAGCCCCAAGAGATGCAGTGGGAGGAGTCAGCATGTCTGAGTTGTACACAGCTCTGAATGTCAGGCTGATGGCAATAGGGAGCCACAGAAGTGTTCAAGCCGTGGAGGGAGGCCTGTGACGAGAGAGGGGGGCCTTGGGACAAAACCACGGAGATGAGGAGCAGGGGCAGATGGGAGAGCCTTTGAACATGATAGATGGGTGGTCCAATGGAAGGTGACAAGGAGGGGTCCTACTTTTGAAAAAGATAACAGTTGAGTTGCAGGGATGAGAGGATGTGAGCCAAACAGATGGCCGCAAGAAGAACATTCCAGGTAAAGGATACGATAGCAAGTGCAAAGGCCCTGAGGCAGTGAGCCTGGGGCAGAGTGAGTGTGGGTGAGACTGGTGAGAGACGAGGCCAAAGAGGGGTGGGGCACAGGTCAGGAAGGGCCTCGCAGGCCACAGGGAAAAGTCACGATGTTCCTCTGGGTGCAGTGGAAACAGGAGGGATGAGGTTAGATTTCTGTCTTTATAATCTACCTCGGTTCCAATCAGAGTGTGTCGGGGTGGGGCGGGAGGCAGGGATGCTCATCAGCTCTGGGAGGTGAGCCAGGCTTTAGGGGAAGTGGGACATTTGGCTGAGTAGAGAGGGGAAAGGGCCAGTGGCAGTGCCCGAGTTGACTGAAGGGAGGGAAGCCCCAGCAACACAGGGCTCCCTCCTCTGGTCTCTACTCCAAATTGCCAGGACCCCCCAGCCAGGCCCTGGACACAGACACACTCCCTCTCCTTTCATTGTCCCACCCCAGCCCCTCCTGGATCAGGTGAAGCTGGCGCCACAGAGATGTGGCAGATCCAACCCCAGCCTCCTGGGGTATGAGGCAGAGCAGAGAGGTCCTGCAGCTGCTGGGCTTCAAGGTGGGCTTCCCGGAGAAGGTGACTTCTCATCTTCCTCATCCTCCCTTTGTTTCCTCTGACACAGTTTGAAGATGGGATCCTGGACATCTGCCTGATGCTCCTGGACATCAACCCCAAGTTCCTGAGGGACGCCAGCCGCGACTGCTCGCGCCGCAGCAGCCCCGTCTACGTGGGCCGGGTGGTGAGCGGCATGGTGAGTGAGCGGCAGGGCTCATCCCGGGGTCGGGGCTATGATGGGCCCCAGTTGGCTCCTCTCTTCCTGTGATGATGGAGGCCAGGCCCGTGCTGGGCACAGCGGTGGGGACCCCGAAGGTGGGTAAGTCTCAGCCAAGAGAGCTTGTGTTTGGAAAAACAAGATTTACACACTTAAGGGTAATGTCATGTGGTTCCTCAAAGCAATTCATTTATTCATTCCTTCACTCATTCAGCAAATAGTTATCAAGTGCTGCCTACATCCTAGACACTGGGGAAAAAGCCAGGGATCAGACACAGATGGTCTCCAGCTTCACAGAGCTGACGTTCTAGCGGGTGGGTGGGGAGAGACAGGCGTTAACTGAAATACCACGTGGACAAGCGCTCAGTCATAAATTACGATGCACGTGCTGGAGGGACCCAGCTGTGTGAGTGTCGACCACAGGGCCCATCCCTACGGGAGGATCCTGAGCTGACATAGTCACTAGGAGGAGAAGAGTGTTCCAGGCGGAGGGTAGAGCTTGTGCAAAGGCTGGAGTGGAGGGAGGAAGGGGGAGCTGCGTGCAAGCCAGGCTGCAGAGGTGGCAGATTTTTTCTCCAAGTAAGGGGGGTTTGAGGGGAACGACAATCTGAGCAGGGGCCAGAGCCAGTCTTTGTAAAACTCCGTGTCACTCCCCTGTCACCTGTGGACGAATTCGCATCTCCAGCATCACCTTCATGACCTTGACCCCACTCCACCTCTGCCCTTCCCCTTCTCCGTCCTGCACCCTGGGCTCCAGCCCAACCATCTCCAACACACCTGTCTGTCACAGCTTGGGACCTGTGCACCTGCTGTTCCCTCATCCTGAACTCCCTTCCCTGCCTCTCTCCGGGTGCTGAACTCGCGCTCACCCTGGTGCAGCCGCCACCTGCTCCCCGGGTTCAGTCCCCCTGATGCCCTGCTGGTTTCAGGTCAACTGCAACGATGACCAGGGCGTGCTGCTGGGACGCTGGGACAACAACTACGGGGACGGCATCAGCCCCATGTTCTGGATCGGCAGTGTGGACATCCTGCGGCGCTGGAAGAGCTGCGGCTGCCAGCGTGTCAAGTATGGCCAGTGCTGGGTCTTCGCGGCTGTGGCCTGCACAGGTGAGCTGCACGCTGGCCTGTGGGGAGGGCCCGGAGCCCGTCCTCAGCCTCCGGGAGCCCTGGGAGGGGGCAGAGAGAGCACTAGGGTGGGAATCAGGAGACGCCAGTTCTAGTCCGCCCTCTGCTTCTACTGCCACCAGTACACTGTGTGGCGTGGAGTCGGTGGCTGCCCCTCTCTGGTCCTTTTTCCAGCTACCCCTCAGGTGGTTGTTAGGATTAAGGGGTGTCATTTGGGAGGTGGCGTGAGCTCAGAGTCGAGAAGATGGGCTTTGGAGCCAAGCACAAGCGAGTTAAAAGTCCCCAGTTACACTCATTTGCTGTGTGACTTTGACAAATGACTTCTTCCTCAACCTCAGTTTCCTCACCTGTAAAAGGGGGGCAGCAGGACCTGCCTCCCAGCGTGGGTGGACATAAGGCTGCTCAGCACAGAACTTGGCCCAGAGAAGCTCTCAGTAAATGTGAGCTATTAATAACTTGATAATAAGAGTAATAGCAATATCAAGAAAGAGCACTTTCTAAAATGCAGAAGAGGAAAGATGAAGCAATTTAGAACCAAAAAGGTAAAATAAATCTTTTAAAAAATCTTGAAAATTTGAGCCCAGAAAATGTTGAAGATTGTTCCCAGGTTGATGACGGTGCTTACGAGAATGGCACCTGATGCCAGTTAAGAACGCAGACTCTGGAGTCAAGGGTTGAATTCAAATCCCAGCTCTGCTTCTTACCAGCTGTGCGTCCTTGGGTAAATCACTTAACTCCTCTGAGCCTCAGTTCCATTATATGTAATTTACATATAATTTCCGTTATATGTAAAATGGGCATAATAGTAGTGCCTTTGCCCTGGGATGGTAGTGAGGATTAAACGAGTTAATGTGTGTGAAGTGCTTAAAATCATTTCAGGCGCATAACAGCAAATATTTATGCAGTGCTGCTGCTTATTATTGTTGCTATTATTACCATTTCTCTTATTATTATTATTATGGGGATCAGGAAACCTAAGAGGCTGATCTCAGGTTCCCAGCTTCGCTGACTCTGAGACCAGTGCTCAGGCCCGGAGAAGGGCCCCCAGGATCCCCAGCACTGTCCTCCACACTAGCAGGCTGGGTGGGGGCAGCCTGGCTGGAGCCCCAGCTAGGCTGACTCTGCTCCCCCTCCCACGCTGCCTCTCCACCCATGACCGCCTGCTCCCTGTGACCCCGGAGTTCCCCTTCCTGTGGAAATTCCGCCATCCCAGACCCTTCCCTCGGAGGGGCCTGGAACACGCCTTCTCAGAGGACCCCGGGGGTTTCCTGGAGAAGCCTCGCCCTCCGAGGCCTGGTCCCCGAGCCCACCGGCGGTGCCTTTCTCACCCCGGCTGTGACCGCCTGATGGTTTACTTGCAGACCTTGCCCTCGCTGTCCTCTCCCCAAGGCCAGGGCTGAGCCGGGGGCCCTGCAGCCTCCTCCCGGAACTGGGTAATGCAGCCGGGGAAAACTTACTCAGACGAGGCGCCGTCTGAGCCCCTTGGCCCCCCAGGAGCCATATGGTGGACCAGCCCATGGGCTCTGGGGCCACACCGCCTGGTTTGAATGCCAGCTCTGCCTCCAACCCCTGGGTGGTCTTGAGCAAAAGAATTGATGTCTCTAAGCCTCAGTTTCCCCACCCGTAAAATGGAGACAATGGTGACTGACCTAATGCATAGGGAACTCTTAGGACCCAGGAGATGCCACGTAGAACAGTCTCTGGTTCGGGTTGCATTTATGTTTGGGGGTTTCCAAAGGAAGCTGGGATTCCTCAGCAGGACCCTGGAGCCTGTTCTCAGTGTCCGAGAGCCGACCAACACTGACTGGACAGGCGTTTGCAGTGACAGGCACCATGACACGCTCTGCTGTTCCACCGGGGCAGCGGACAGACAGGGCTTCCCATGCCCACCTCCTCTGAGTCATCACTACAACCCGACAAGCTGCTATTCTTAGCTCCTCTTAGAGGAGGAAGCGGAGGCTCAGAGAGGGGAGTGGCTTGCCCAAGGTCACACAGCTGGCAAGCAATACAGCTGGGCTTGGAACCAGGTGTGCCCAGTTCTGGGGCAGCCTCCGGGGGTGGTGACGGGGCCTCCCGGACACCATCCCTGGGGTGCCTTGTTCCTTGGGCAGAGGGGACAGGCCTCCCCAAGCCTCCCCACGTGGCGGGGTCTGGGGATGGCACCAGCCTTTGCCGAGGGCAGCAGCCAGTCTGACCCCTGCCCAGGCTCAGGGCTCGGGAACCAGGCGAGAGGCAGAGGGTCATTGCCGCTCCCCACGCTGCACCCGCTCGCCTTCCAGCCAAACTCCAGGGCCCTCTGGGAAGCTCTTGCCCTGCGATGGCGGTGCCCTGCGGATGGCGGGCAAAGGGCAAAGGTCACACCCCTGCCCCTCCCCCGCCCCAGAGACTCCATGGAAACTAAGAATGAAACGGAGTCCCACCACTTCCATTTAGTAGGCTTTTTGTTTCCTTTCTCTTTTTAGATCCTTACTTTCTTTATCGCACTCTGCGAATATGTCAGTGTTACAATATACCTAAAAAGCACTTTGAAAAGTGAGGGGGTGAGAGTGCCCGTAAATGCCTCTGTCCAGAGCACCCAGCACCGCCGGCCGCTGGGGGCATTTGGTCCGGACGGTCCTCCCCCTCCGCGGGCTGCAGCCACCGCTCGACGTCCTGCCTCTTTGGTGCAGGACCCTCTGTCAGACACCGCAGCCCCTCTGAAAACCGTGCTTTGGCAGGAATGCAGGGCCCTCTTCGTCACGATGGTGTCCCAACACATCTGAGGCCCTTGCCCCCGTCCCATGACTCTGTTTTACAGAGGAGGAAACAAGGCCCAGAGAGGTGAAGGGCCTGGCCCCAGGTCACACAGCCCCAAGCAACTGGGCCTTGAATGGAGGCCTCCTGATCTCTGCTCCCTCTTCCGCCTGCTCCTCGCTCTGAATCTCTAGCGTTCCTTCACTCCTTCTCTTCCTCCCTTCCTCCTCCTTCTCTCTCTACATCATCTGCTCCTTCACGCCCCTTGACGAAATAGTCTGTGCTCGGCCGGTGCCAGGCTCTGGGGATAGAAAATAAGACACAGGTCCCTTACCACCCTCAGAGGACTAATGAAAGAGTCCCATACATTGAGAATGGTGAGGAATCCCCAGTCTTGCTGTGAATGTAAATGATGGGTGATCTAAACCTGGTGGGCCTTTGTGGAGGAGGGAACAGCATATGCCAATGCCCTGTGGCTGGTAGGCATGTGGAGTGCTGGAGGGACTGTGAGGAGGCCAGTGTGGCTGGAGCAGATGCAGGAGGTGGTCAGGGGCCAGATTCTGCAAGGCCAAGTGCCACAGCCAGGGTCTGGCCTTGACCTCAAGGGCCATGGGGAGGCATTGAAGGTTTAACAGAGCAGTGTTAACGTCAGATTTGTATTTTAGAGTCTTCTTTTGTTAGCTGTGATGTGAGGGGGACAGAGTGGACGTGGGGCGACCAGCAAGGTCCCTTACTGTCCGGGTAAGGGAATGGCGCACACCCTCACCACCTGGACAATGGGTACAGTGCTCCCTGGGCGACAGATGGGCATGCCGAGGCCCAGAGCGGGGCGGGTGTCTCCAGGGCCTCAGCCCATCCTCTGAGCCCTCTCCATCACGTCCCCCGCCCCCCCAGTGCTGCGCTGCCTCGGCATCCCCACCCGCGTCGTGACCAACTATAACTCTGCCCACGACCAGAACAGCAACCTGCTCATCGAGTACTTCCGCAACGAGTTTGGGGAGATCCAGAAGGACAAGAGCGAGATGATCTGGTGAGATGGGGCCCAGGGTCGGGGACAGGCCCGTGGGGAGGGTCCCCTGAAGAGGATTTCTCAGAGGACGTCACATTTGAATTGGGTGTAAAAGTGAACAGTATCTGGACAGGAGGAAACGGGGGGACGGCCCCGCAGGGAGGGGAACAGCAGGAGCGGAGGCTCAGAGGAGGAGAGTCGATGCGCAGGGTGCGGACGGGCCTCAGGGAGAACGGATCACCGGGATCTGGATGCCAGGCGAGGGGTCTGGGCTTGATCCCAAAGGCAACGAGTTGTCACTAAAGGCATCCTACTGGGAGAGGGACATGCTGACGACCCCGGAGCAGGAGGTTTTGGAGGAGAGACTGGGAGCGGGGGCCGGGGTGTGGTCCAGGCAGGTGGCGATAAGGCCTGAACCAGGGCAGAGCGTGTGGCCCCGAAAGGAAGGGACAGCCGAGAAATTAGGTCACCTCAGTGGACTCGCAGAGCCGCTGAAGGGGAGGGGGTGGGGAGAGGCATTGGGAAGGTCTCCTGGGTGGGAGTGACACCTGGCTGGGGCCCACAGGAAGAAGAGCAAAGAGGAGTCCAGGGACACACAGCGCTCAGTTTAGGACAAGGGGAGGGCGGACTGCCCGTGAGGGGGACAGGGGAAGTCTGCGTCCTGGCCGACGTGTGGCTTTGTGTCCCACAGGAACTTCCACTGCTGGGTGGAGTCCTGGATGACCAGGCCGGACCTGCAGCCAGGGTACGAGGGGTGGCAGGCCCTCGACCCCACGCCCCAGGAGAAGAGCGAAGGTGGGTCGGCGTGGCCCCATTGCCGAGATGGGGAAGCGGAGGCTCGAGCGGGCTCTCCCAGAGCCCCCCGGCCGGAGAGTGGCAGGGCTGGCTGCCTCCAGAGGCCATTCACTAATTCCACTGAAATATAGTCATCAAAACTTTTTAAAATAAACTTGTGCTATGATAACATATGCTTTATGTGACAAGACCTAGTGGCAGAGTTAGTAAGTTCCATCACTTAGCGGGAGAGACGAGCATAAATGCTGTTTCCGGTTATCTCTGACAACTGTAAAGGGATGTGGAAATCTCTGTGGTTGTCATGAGTGACAGGTCATAAGTGCACCTCACTGCGGTTTGTTGTCTGCTTTCACAACCAAAGGCAGCGCTGCCAGAGTATAGCGAAAATAGAGAGGTGACGTTCTCCCACCCAAGTTCCCGGACGCCTGACTCTATCTGCTGCACCGTCGGGGTCCTGGACCCCGGGGTTAAGAACTCTGGCCGCACGTGGCCCTTTATCCTGGTCTGTCACTTCTCCATGCATCATTGGCATTTCCCTATCTGATAATGTTCCGCAATTTGAGTTTGAATTTAATGTTGCTGTGTTCCTTCAAATGGACGCGCTCTAAGACAGCTGCCTAGCCTCTAGTCCTCAACACGCGAATTTGTGACCAGTTTGAGGCAGCCGTAAACCACGCCGAGATAAATACCCGACACTCACGTTCATTCAGTCGACACACGCTCCCTGAGTATGTGTCGGGCACTGACATACTCAGTATGGGTGGGAAACAAGACAGACGCTGCCTTCTGCAGTACTGCCTGCTGCCCGGCTCCTTCATTTCCTTAGGGTGCCTTGGGTACATTTTAATTTTATTTATCAAACACACAGCATTTAGTATATGGGCATCCTCATTGGGTAGGCACAAATATCCCCACGTGAAACTGAAGCTTAGAGAGGTTAAGTGACTTACCCAAAGCCACACAGCTAATAAGAGGCTGAATTGAGATTTGAACTTGGCTGGGCTTAGGGTCTCCCTTCTTGATTCGTACCCTCTGCTGCCTGCCCAGAAATGGAGTCCCTGAGTCAAAGCACTGTGTGGTCCCGAGACTTTTTGCTACATGGGGTTGAATTGTGGGAGGGTTTGGAGGGGTGCCGCCTCCCCTCAGCCCAGACCCGTCTCTCCTTCCTCCTTCCCCCGACCAGGGACATACTGCTGCGGCCCAGTTCCGGTCCGTGCCATCAAGGAGGGCGACCTGAGCACCAAGTACGACGCCCCTTTTGTCTTCGCCGAGGTCAATGCCGACGTGGTGGACTGGATCCGGCAGGAGGATGGGTCCCTGCACAAGTCCGTCAACCGCTCGCTGGTGGTGGGGCTGCAGATCAGCACAAAGAGCGTGGGCCGCGACGAGCGGGAAGACATCACCCACAACTACAAGTACCCCGAGGGTAGGCGCCCCGCCTCACAGAACAGCAGCCCATCGTACCAGCCCAGCGGGCCTGTGTGTGTGTGGGGGGGTGTGCGTGTGTGTTTTATTTGGCAGCCTGCATACAGCAATGATCTGCAGAGTACTTTCCATTTTAAGAAATTCCTTAGAAACGAGCACAAACTCAGCAAACATTGAGAGGCCGTGGTAGAGGACTATTCATTTAGGAAAAAAATCCTAAAGTCTACAAAAGGATTCCATTTGGTTTTTAAGCCTCACTTTTTTGGTTGGTCTGACTCTTAATAAAACTGAAGGGGGGGCTGGCCCAGTGGCACAGTGGTGAAGTTCGCCTGTTCCACTTCGGTGGCCGGGGGTTCGCGGGTTCGGATCCCAGGTGCGGACATGGCACCGCCTGGCAAAAGCCATGCTGTGGCAGGCGTCCCACATAGACAGTGGAGGAAGATGGGCACGGATGTTAGCTCAGGGCCAGTCTTCCTCAGCAAAAACAGGAGGATTGGCAGCAGATGTTAGCTCAGGGCTAATCTTCCTCAAAAAAAAAAAAAAAACTGAAGGGGATGACAGTCATATAGGAGAGGCATGCGTCTTAACAGAAAAATGAATGCTGTCCGTGTTGTTTATTAACAGCATTTATCAGTAGTGGGACCTACAGCTGTAGATGGGCAATTCCACTCCTGTTTTATTGCAACGTATTTGTGCTAGAGAGGAAGGAAAGTCCAGAGGGGCCCCAGAGGAGAGGTTCCTGGAGCTCTGTACGGTTTATTTTTGCAATATTTCACATACCGCTGGAGAAGGGAGCATGAGGGTGGATGGGGAACGGTTAAATTAAAGAGAAATGGGCCAAGAGAAACTTAATAAGATGGGACCGATCAGACACAAAGACGAAGCTTCTTTCTGTTGCTAACATTAAATCGGTAGGGGGAAAAAAGGACGAGGTTTATTTTAAAAGTTGGGCTGAGCACCTCCGACAGCCAATTCAATACGACAGATAATTTCTAAGCACTTACTGTGTGCCAAGCACCTCGGCTCCCAGAGGTGGCTGAGAACCCATAGCCCGTGCCCTCCTCTGACCCCCACTGACTCTCCAGGGCTGTCTGGGGGTTGGGTTAAGTCCCTGCTGTGGCTGGAAGGGATAAAACAGAAGGCAAAGGTGCTTTCCCTGGCCTCTGAAAGGTCGAGAGCCGACGGTTGCATAGAAGAAATGAGAGCTCGGCGGGTCGGGGAGAGAGGGAAAGGATTTGGGGTAGGAGTAACCCCCGTGCACGTGCTTGGAGGTGAGAAAGTTTGCCTTGCAGTAGTGCCTACTGTGCGCCAAGCATACAGACAAGTACAATACAGTCCTTGTCCCTGAAAGGCTCAAGAGCATAGCCACATGAACAGAAAACGACCTGGTGGGCTAAAAACCCATGGTGGGCAATAGGCAGCTTTGAAACTCCAGAAGACATCATGACTCATTCATCCCGGGAAGGAGTAGTCAGAGAAGGCTTCCCGGAGGAGGGGTCATTTGGGGCTGGGTCTTGAGGGATGTATAGGGGTTCACTTGTGGAAAGTAAGTAAGATACTTTTTCCTCCCGGCACAGAAATGTACACATGAGAAGGGGCTCCTTCAGGGCCGCTCAGAGTCCCCGGGGCTCTGAGAGGCCGGCTTGCCCTCCCCAGCGTGCTGTGCACTGATTGCTGTTCCGGTGGCCAGGAAGCTCTCTTCCCCATCCCCACAGGGTCCCCGGAGGAGAGGGAAGCCTTCACGAGGGCCAACCATCTGAACAAGCTGGCTGACAAAGAGGAGACCGGCATCGCCATGCGCATCCGCGTGAGCCAGAGCATGAGCATGGGCAGTGACTTCGACGTCTTTGCCTACATCACCAACAACACGGCCGAAGACCACGCTTGCCGCCTCCTGCTCTGCGCCCGCACCGTCAGCTACAACGGGGTCCTGGGGCCCGAGTGTGGCGCCAAGGACCTCCTCAACCTTTCCCTGGAGCCCTTCTCTGGTAAGGCCCCGCGCTCCCAGAGCGGTTATTGACCACCGGCCGACGAGGTGTGTGCAGGGTAGCGCCCTGAGCACCTGGTGTGTGCAGTTTACCTCTCAAACACTTACGTGGACTTACTCTGAGTCATGCCCTGCCCTAAGCACTGTATAGATAGCAACCCATTGAATTCTTATAACAAAAGTAGGAGATGGATTCTTTCACGGCCCCCATTTTCCAGATGAGAAGACTGAGCACAGAGAGGTTAAGTAACTTTCCCAAGGCCACACAGTTAGGAAGCGACAGGACTGAGCCCTGAACCTGTACTTCGCAACTCTACTATTTTGCTCCATCTCGTCTTCACCTGACCCCTGACTGCTTTCCAGACTCTCTACTGCCCTCTCCCAGCTAAGTCCTTTCCTCCATCTCCAGCCACTCTCACACCGCAGAAGCCTCTGCCGCGGCCCCTGCGAGAACTTCACCCCCTCCTCCGGGGGTCCTCAGCCTCAGAGAGAAGAGGTTCTAGACCAGCGCCGCCCACAGAACTTTCTGTGATGACGGGCATGGTCTGTAGGTGCGCTGTCCAGTGCAGTGGCCGCTAGCACTGAAACGTGGCCAGTGCAACGGCAGAGCTGAAGTCCAACAACCGCGTGTGGCAGAAGCTGCCGTGCTGGACAGCGTAGCTCCAAGAGCGGTGGAGGACGTCCAGCCCTCTGTGGGGAGAGGCGTGGGCCTCCCAGCCCCGATCTCCTCTCCACGGCTCCAGCGCCTGGCAGGGCCTCCCTGGGAGGCACATCCCCTTCCCTTCGCTCCTTGGCTCTGAGTCTCCCGTTTTGGGGTAAAATAATGTCCATGCGTGACCGAGCCCTCAGCCCTGGACAGGGCCTCTGTTGTTTTGTCTCTTTGGTCCCTTTCACTGCCCAGCTTTGTTACTACACCTCGTTATCTTCCTAAAAATAAGCTTCAGGCTCTGAGAGGGGTCACGGCCACTGAGGTCACTTTGTGAGGCAGCACAGAGGCGGGTCTCCCGCCCTCAGCAGCCAATCTGTTTCTGCGTTTGGAGCCGGCAGACATGAGGAAGGCAGAGGGGTCTTGGAGCCGGGGGAAGACGGGGAGCGGTGGAGGGACACCCTGGCCGTCCCCTGCCCGAGGGGTGGCGTGGTCCAGCAGAGCGTCGATCATCCCTGGGGCCTCAGAGAGGAGGGTTCCGCTCACTGTGCCACCTGGGCAGACGGCCACCTCCCTGAACTTTGGGGTCCCAGTCAGGCACGTGGGAGTCAGACCAACAGTGTAGGACGGTCCTAGGCATTCAGTCCCCAGCAGCCTGTGTGCTGAGGCCCGGAGCTGGTGAGGAGCCCATGGTGGGAGGGCTCCGTTTGACCTCTCTGTCCCCCTCCTCTTGCCTGTCAAACCATTTTCCTCTCCTTTATTTCCTCTGCCTCCCCTTTTGACCCCCATGGCCTGGCGTGTGGAGCACAGCCTTCTAGGTCCTAAGAAAGCCTGTCTGTATTTTGGGCCGTGAGTCTGCAATGTAGACAGTGCCACCTCCTGGCTTTTCTACCTCGGGCCCACCCTGGGCCGTCCTGGAGCCGCATGCCCAGAGCTGACCCTCTGTCAGGCCCTCTAAGCAAGGGCCCAGCCCTCGGGGGCCGAGCCGTGTGGCACCAGGGCTGGGGGCCCACACTCACGCTGTTGAAAAGTGAGTTCTGAGGCCAGTGGGCCTGGCCTTGAATCCGGCCTCCACCACCAGTCCCCAGTCACTCTCATGCATGAAGTAGGGCCTTGGCACGCCCCCAGAGGGGCCACTGAGAGGACTGAAGGAGAAGGTTTGTGCTCAGGGAAGATCTGGAAAGCCTAACACGGTGCCTGGACCTGATGTGGTCCTTCACTCCTCACCCAGCAGAAGTGCAGACAGGTGTGGGGCAGCCAAGAAGGCCCCGGCCCGCCCTGAGCGCCCCCCGTGCCAGACGATGGTCTCAGCACTGGGCTGGGAGGTACCTGGGTCCCTGCCAACCTTGGTGGCAGGCGAAGGACCCAGCTCTCGCTTCTGCGTCCAGGCTCCGAGTGTCGGGGCAGGGTCCGTCCCTACAGGGGCATGGGGTTGTCAGGACGCCCAGGTTGTAGTGGCTGCAGCTGTGCCGCTGGGCTGCGGGCTCCTGAGCATCTCCCGTCTCCATCCTAGACCTCGGAGTCTCTATCCATGCAAAGGCTGGCTCACCTTCGAAGGGCCCTCCCAGCCCCCTTGTGCGAATGCACACGTTGTCCGTTCCTTCTTGCGCTCAGAACCGCTTCAAAGGGAGGGAGTGTCTTTCCTGGAATGTGTGGCATGAGGTGAACTCCAGCCTGGCCAGCGATGCCAGAATGACTTCCTCCTGGGCCTCCTGGACACCGGCAGGCTCCTCCGGGCATTGTTGTGCTGAGCTTCAGCGCGTCGCTGTTTCTCATCATCCTGGGGATATGTTCACAGTAGAGAGCTCCTTCCTGCCACAGAGCCCCACGAGAGGCCAGCCTTCGGGAGAGGGCAGAGGAGGGCAGACGTCCTGTGGCCGCCCTCAGGCTGCAGGGCGGGGCCCATCCGGGATGCCCTCCTGGGGCCTCCAACGCCAAGCTCAACCCGAGATAGATTGTCCCACCCCGGAGGCCCCCCGTTTGCCTAGGATGCTTGCTATTCTTTGATGATAAGACCTGGGGGATTTCCATGTGCTATTGGACGGGAAGCCAGGCCTTGGACAGCAGAACAGAATCCAGTGCCCCCAGCCCTGCCTCCTTGCTCCGCTGCCTCTCTCCCTTCCCCTTCCTGCCCCCGCCCTTTCTCGCTCTCTCCTCCATCCCTCCAGGTGGGTCACTGGGAATGCAGCCAATGTGGTGAGCACGCCCAAGGCACCTTCCAGAATGGGGCAAATCATCTAAGCCCTGAGACCCATCCCACGCGTTTCCTCCTCTCAGTCAGCGTCTGGCCCCAGACCAAGGTCGTGATCCCTGGCCTGTGGACAGCAGTCCTCAAAGGTCCAGCCCCACCCTGGCCTCAGCCTCCTGGAAAAGTCAACAGCTGGGGCCTCGTGCTCCAAGCTGCTGGAGGATGGTGTTTTCCTTCTTTCCTGTGGAGCTGGTCCGAGTTTCCAGTCTGTTCCACCAGGTCCTGCCCCAGGAATTGTCACTCCTTCTTGTCCCTTTTGGAAGAAGGTTTGGTTTTCTTCCTCCCGTGTCATCTGGCCAGAGGTTAGGGCAGATCCAGCCTTGGAGTGAGTGGCTAGAGGGTTGGGCGCGCCTGAGTGCCACATTTTCCATAGAGTGGACGTGAGCAACGTGTGCATGGCCAGGCCTGGACCTTGACTCACTCGGTGAGAAAATTACTGTCCCTCGGGTCTCCAGCGTCCTCCAGATGACCTCAGGGGGCACGTCTCAGCAGGTGCAATCTGCTCAGCCTCCCTAACCTCTGCTCATCTCTCTCTTTACCCGTAAGGTCAGGTCGCAAACCCAGAGCCTTCAGCAGACAAGAATACCTAGCCGGAGTTGCACATGCGTGACTCAGTTTGCTTGTGTTTATTTTTACCAATTACCTCCTATTTGTGGTAAATGAGACTGGTTTGCTGCAAATAATGACAAAAAGTTTCCCTAGGCAAAAAAGGTTTAAAAGCCCAAAGTGAGTGGACTGAAAGGAAAATAATGAGGATATACTCCGACGTATGAAAAATCATGTGCATGGGTGGAGATAGGAAACCCTGCTCTAGTGGGAGGAGGGGACAGGACAGAAAAAGAAGCAAGAGCATCTCCCGTGATGGCACTGGGACGTGGTCCTGGGAGGACGAGGGGAGGTTGGCTGGGCTCCAGGGAGCCCTGAGACCGTCCTCCTGGCACTCCTCTCTGACGGGGCAGGCCGGAGGAGCAGAACGGTTTGCACAAGGCTCTCCGTGACCGACTGGACAAGCAGGGCCTGACGGGGGCCTGTGGATTCTCAGGCCCATGGTCTCTTCACTGCTTCTTCTGGCCTTTAACAGACAGACCCTGGTGGCTTCAGACCTCAGTGTTCTTGTCAGAAAAATGGAGCTAAAACCACACTTCGTTCCTCTGCAGTGGGCGGGGCGGCCCTGCCAGCTTCTTTCTCACCCCCTCATCTCGATGTGGCTTTTGCCCCGAAATGACCTCTGGTCTTATCTCTGCCCAGCAGGTGCTGGATGTCTGGGGGAACAGAGGAGAAACAGAGAGGGGAGGTCATCTTCCCAGGCTCACACAGCCAGTCAGTGGCCAAAGCCAGGCCAGGTCTCCAGATCTGAGCACTTACTGGCAGACGTGTTTCTTCATCTGTAAAATGGGTACCATCCTTCGTGGGGGAAAATGAGCTCACGTCCAGTGAGTGCAGGTTACTAGATCTGGGTTGTCAGTTCAAATGCCTGCGGCACGTCATAGGCGTGACCTGGGGCAATGTTGTTTCACCGGCTCCAGCCTCAGTTTCCTCATCTGTAAATTGGGCTGTAATAAAAGTACAACCCTTCCAGGTTGTTGTGAAGGTGAAGTAGGAAGCCTGGTGCTGGCACAGCAGCGGACGTCAGCTCCATCCCCCAACAATGCGGCAGCAGCTGACATGCCCGGGGCATTAAGTGTGTGCCAGGCACCGCGCCGCACGCCCCGCCCCCCACTCCTCCCGTAGCCGTATGGATGCCCTTACCATACAGACCTGAGAATTGAGGTCCTGAGAGGTGGCGTGGCTTGCCCAGCATCTCCAGTTGGCAAAGGGCTGAGGCAGGATTAGAACCCGGGCCTGCCGGAGCTCCAGCGCTTCCCCTACCAGGTGTCTGCCCTCTGCTCCCCGGCTCCTTCCCGGGAACCCTGGAGCCGGGGCAGGTGGCCTAAAGGCCTGGATCTGCCCATCCTTTCACCAGCTGTGTGCCCTTGAGCGCATTCGTTTCCCTCTCTGTGCCTCGGGCGTTGCAGGAGGAGGGGCGGGGCGATGACTCAGCTCTCCCGGTGCCCCCCTCCCCTCCCGCAGAGAAGAGCATCCCTCTTCGAATCCTCTATAAGAAATACTGCGACTGCCTGACCGAATCGAACCTCATCAAGGTGCGCGGCCTCCTCATCGAGCCCGCTGCCAACAACTACCTTCTGGCCGAGAGGGACATCTATTTGGAGAACCCAGAAATCAAGATCCGGGTAAGGGGCAGGCGGAGCAGGGCGGGGGCAGGGGCGGGGGCCCCGGGACAGGCCCCCACGCATGCGCACACCTGCCTCCCTGCCACCTCAACGTCTGCTGCCTCAGGGATCCTCAAATCAAAGAAAAGCACCGAGAAGCCAATAGAATTTGGGACTCGGAGCCTCTGGGAACAAATCTCAGCATCGAGAGTGGGAGGGTCATGGAACTGAGGGATATTGGAATCAAAGCTAAACTCCTAAGGCTGGATCCCCAGGCCTTGGTGGCCCTGGTGGGGCAGCAGGGGCGGAAGAGTGAAGGGCACAGAGTCTAACTCCTGGGTTTGTGCCTGGATGGCCTTGAGCATGTTTCTTGGCCCCCGTGCCTCAGTTTATTGAACTGCGAGATGGGTTAACGCTAGCGCCTGGGGAGGTGCAAGGATTGAGTGGGCACCCACGGGAAGTGCATTATAAGGGCTCAGTAAAGGCGGACTATTCTTATCACCGTCATCCTCATCTTCATCCCCATTCGCCTGGAGGGGCCACAACCCCCAAACTCCAAAGGCAGCAGCCACCAGCAAATGGGAAAGAGCAGGGCGGGAGGGGCCTTGGGCGCCAGACTCCACTGGGAGCTTGCACACTAGTTCAGTCAATCCTCAGGAGCACCCTGTGATCAGGCGTGTCTCTCCCATGAAGAAACCAAGGCCCAGAGAGGGGAGTAACTTCCCCAGGGCCACACAGTGAGGAAGGGGCCGAGATTGGTCTGCCCCAAAGCCTGTGATCGTTCCACTCCAGACCCTAGAACAAGGGAGGCACTTACACACGGCCCGGGGCACGTGGCACCTCAGCGCAGCTCCACGAAGGAGACCTAGGCAGCTATCATCATCCTCTTTTCCAGATGGGGAAACTGAGGCACAGGGATGAGGAGTGATAGTGGCAGAGCTGGGCAAACAGTGGGCTCAACTGCAGCCAATACAGAGGTGGCCCAGCGGGACCCTGCCTGCTCTCGAGGGGCACTGGGCCCTGTCCCTCAGTGCCACCCTGACATCTGCCCCATGCCCTCTCCCAGATCCTGGGGGAGCCCAAGCAGAACCGCAAGCTGGTGGCTGAGGTGTCCCTGCGGAACCCGCTGGCCGTGCCCCTGTTGGGCTGCACCTTCACCGTGGAGGGGGCGGGCCTGACCGAGGAGCAGAAGACCATGGAGATGTAAGTTCTGGTCCCTCCAGCTTGGGGGCCCGGGAGCGGGGGCAGGTGCTCACGGGGCAGGGGGCAGCCCTCAGGCACCGAACCCTGACGCAGAACCCCTCCTCTCCACTCCCACATGCCTGCCTCGTACACCCCGCGTCCACTCGCACACACCCGCCTCATATACCCCTGTGTCCACTCCCACGCACCCTCGGGGCAGAGTTCCCACCCTTGAATCCTCTCCACACGCACACCTGGTTAGCTGCATTCCATGCACGCGTCCTCACAAACCTCAACAGTTACACGTTGGGCCACTGAGCATCCATCTCTGGACACGCAGGTGCTCACGTAAACACGGGTGTCAGCATCCTGAATGTCCCCACGCGTGCGAGGGGGGCGTATCCTCACAGATACACGCTTACATACATACATACATACATACGAGCATTCACACTTCTTATTTACATTTTTATTGTAATGTGTCACATACAGTAGAGAATATAAATCATGCATGTACAGCTCAATGCATTTTCATGCATGTAGCCACCTGAGCGTACCCACACCATCCACTTCCATGCACGCACACACACACATACTGGCCTCTCTATACGTAGGAGGGCAGATGGCCCAGGCCCTCAGAGAGCGGGGAGCGGGGCCCGTGTTGTTCTTGTCGGCATTGGGCGTACATCCGGGGAGACTCTGTGCTGAGTTCTCCGTAGTCACACCTCGTCCTCCGGGCTTGGCTCCATCATGGGTGAGCAGGCCTGGGCCCCTCTCCTCACCGCGCTCCTCTCTCTCTCCTCAGCCCGGACCCAGTGGAGGCCGGGCAGGAAGTGAAGGTGAGGGTGGACCTGCTGCCGCTGCACGTGGGACGCCACAAGCTGGTGGTGAACTTCGAGAGCGACAAGCTGAAAGCTGTGAAGGGTTTCAGGAACGTCATCATCGGCCCCTCTTAAGGGGTCCTCAGCCCCACGTCAGCCGACCGAGAGCCCCCGACTTGACCCCAACTTTTATCCTAAGCTAATGAGCAAAATTTGCCCCTTCCTGGGCCCCAGAGTAGGAGTGGGCTGCCTGTGGGGGCTCTCTGGGATGGCGTGTACTTCTGGCCCGTCTTGTCCCCCTGAACCTGGTTCCGCACCCCCTTTCCTGCGAGCAACGTTCTGTGCCTCCACAGTGGGGGTCCTGACTGGGCCTGTGGGGGGAGGAAGGATCCACACCTCCCTTTCTAGCCCAGTTGCCACTTGGAAAGCCACTGACCACCCACCATATCTGATCTGCTCCAGAGCCCCTTGGAGCAGACAAAAAAGAGGCAATGTACCCATTGGCTGGATGGAGGGACCTGGCCCCCTAGAATGTCCTGTATCCCTTCCCCGGACTGTGCCCCGGGGCCCCAGGCACCCTTGGGAGAGCCAGAGCAGATGGGGACAAGGAGGGTCCCAGGAATAGGCCAGGCCCAAGCTCCCCCCACATCCCAGCAGCCCTAGCCCAACCGCCCCCCACCCACCTCACCATTATGGGGCACTGCCAGGTGCCAGGTGCTTCCTGTACGCGCTGGTGCTCATGTGGCCACCAGCCCAGTGAATGGCCACAGGAAGCTGCAGAGTGGGAACTGCTTTCTCTGCGAGGAGACTGAGGCTTGGTGATGGGAGGCGGCCCCCTCTGCACCAGCAGGCTGGTGGCTATTTGCAAGGCTGGGTAACATGAAGGTGCAGGAACAGAGCCTGGACCGACCTTCTGAGTCCGAGTCCAGTGCTCTGCTCGTGACACCAGCCCTGACCTGAGAATGTCAGAGAGGCCATTTGGGACCTGATCCAAAAGGACCAGTTGGGGCAAAAAGGTGGGGAGGAGACTGGAGAGATCAGAGCCCTGGGTTCAAGCCCCAAGTCCGGCTGGCCACTGCCTTCCCCTGTCTGGGCCCAGTGTCCTCACTGGTCAAAGGAGTGGTTGAACCAGCTCATCTCCAAGGCCCCCCCATTTTGTACTTCTGATGCATTGTGTGACCCAGTCTTGCAAATGACAGCGAGTCCGGCTCCCTGGCTGCACAGAGCCTTAGCCCACAGGCCTAGGATGTTTCTGAGCACGCAGCCATGACGACGACCACTCTCCTGCCCCCAGCCGTGTCCAGGTCCCCTACCTGTGCCCAGGCACCTTCCTTCAGACCCCAGTTGTGGAGTAAACGAGCCCCGGAGGCCCCTGTCCTACCCGTGAGCCTGCCCGCCACAACGCCTCGACTTCACCTGGGCCTTAGCTGCTGTGCTGGTCACTAACCAACAAGGTCGGCACCTCAGCACCCCCTCTTTGCAGGGCCCGGGCCCTGGAACACAGCCGGCCTTTGCCCCTGACTAAGCCTGGGGAGCCCACGAGATGTCATCTCTGACTTAACCCCCGCCCCCTCCACGTGGCTGGGCCTCCCTCACGCCAGCAGAGGGAAGGAGGGGGAATTCTCTACCTGGGGTGAGGTCGCAGCCTCCAGGGCCCCCACATCCCAGAGAGGGAAGTGGGGAAGCCACGCTGATGCACTTAGAGCTTTCTGCTTCGCAGGGGAAAGAATCACAAAGTGAGCCAACGTGGATACGTTCTGTACAAATACAGCTCTATTTCTCTGGTTTCATAAACGCTTTTGGGTTCCAAGTAGGCAGTAGGTGTGCCTTTGAGCCACAAGGAGCGAGCACTGAAATAAAAAAATTTATTTTTCACATTCAAACAAGGTCTGGTCTTCTTCATGCTTTTGAGGAGGGTGGGTAGGCGAGCTCATTCACCTCGGGACCAGCCACCTCCTGCCTGAGAGCCTTTCCCCAGCCTCAGCCCCTCCCCCACATCTAAATTTTACTGGCATTCAGGGCTCTACATAGTCCAGCTCCATCCTTAGCGTCTTCCTCAAACAAATCATGTTCGGACCACAATGAACTTCCTGTTTCCCTCTAAACACGCTGTGCGCTTGTCAACCTCCCGGCTTTTGCATGTGTAGTTCCCTGAGCCTAGAGTGCCCTTACCCATCTTGCGAACTCCTACTCATCCTATAATGCTTAACACCAAAGTCACCTCTTCTGAGAAGCCTTCCAGATTTCTTCTCAGGCCCCCAGGGCCCTGGAACATAGACCAACTCAAACACTTATCACAGCAAACTTTAATTCCATGTTGGTATGTCTGTCCTCCTCCCCATCCTATCTGCAGTCCTCAAAGGCAGGCATAATAATGCTAATAAGTGCTGAACTGGTAAATCAATGTGTTTCAGCTCAGCACCCAGAAGACCAGTGCTGTCCAGTAGAAATATAACATGACTCACAAATGCAAGCCACATATGTAATTTAAACTTTTCTAGCTGCCACGTTAAAAAGTGTAAAAAGAACCAGGTGAAATATATTTTAATAATGTATTTTATTTAACCTAATGTGTCTGAAATATTGTTATTTCAACACAAAATCAATCTAAAAATTGTTAGTGAGATATTTTACATTCTTATTTTCACACTCGGCCTCTGAATTGCGGTGTCTATTTTGTACCGACAGCCCGTCTCGATTCGGACTAGCTGCATTTCAGGGGGCTGCTGGCTATGGTACCGGACGGCGCCAGGTCTAGACTATGATCCCGGGAGTGTGGGGACTTCGTCATTCATCTCATTCCCCACCGATGAGGCACTAATAGACGTTTGTTGATTGAATAGGTGATGGAGGACCTCAGTCTAAACCCTCAGGGAACTCATGGTGGAAGACATGACATGAGCCTAAAAAATAAATAAAAATGAAAACACCAGATCACATTTTCTGAGTGTGGAATCCTTCTGTTCCTTGAAAAACATACCTGGTTCTGACCTAGACGGCCTGAACATCTTGTCAGTTAGTGACCAGCTGGAAAACAGAAACCGCGTGGCTTTTTCAGGCGGAGAGGGAGTGCATTAGGGAACTCGATCCCAAAGGCATGTGACGTGCAGGAGAGCAGGAGGGAGAGGGGCATTACCCAGAATCCAGGGAGCAGCTGCGCCCTGGACGGGCTGTCAGGAGCCCACGAGCCAGGACCGTGCTCACCGCCCCGCTGCTGGAGCCCTGGACCCAACATTGCTGCCGGAATCTGCGAAGCCTGCCGGGGTCAGCCGTACCAGGAGCCAGGGGCAGGCTGGCATCTCTCGTCCTCTTGCCTTCTCCCCGCTGGCAGATCCTAACCAGAAACCAGCTGGCAGGGTGTTCTGGAAAACGCCATTTTCAGGCTTCCAGCCCCGTGAAAACAGAGCTGGCTAGGAAGGGTCAGAGGGAACGGAGTGCAGTACTATATCTATTGCTGTTCCCTCTGCTAAGAACCGCCTCCCATCATCTCCACCTGAGGAACTCTTTCTCAGCTTTCAAAACCCTGCTCCAAGGAGGACTCCTCTGTGAAGCCTTCCTGGACTGCAGCCAACTGCTTCACCCTCTGGTTCCCCTCAGCATGTCATGGAGAGCCTGGATTAGGAACAGCTGTTTGTGTGACTGCCCCAAGCTCTGAGCGCCCCAAGAGCAGGGTCAGGGCACACCCACCCCCCCAAGGGGGCCACCAAGCGGACTCAGGACTGCCAACCCTGGCTCCCGAGCCTGACTGCCTCCACCGAAGAGCAGGGGTGGAGCTGCCCCAGCCGGGTCTGCCAAGGCTCAACAGACTCAGAGGCCCCTCCTGAGCAGCCGCCAAGCCTGTCCCACCCCGGGAGCCCACCAGCCAGGAGCCCAGGAAGGAGAAAGGCCCTGCTGGTCACAGAGGCCCATTTTACAGACAGACAGTGAGCCTGAGGGCCTGCTCCCCACTCCAGAGGTGAGGGCTGAGTCTGGGTCCCGCAGTACAGAGCCAGGCACTGCTCCGTGGCAGCTCGGAGCCCTGGTGTCAGGCACCCAGATTCTGGAGTCGAAGAGATCCAGGATCAAAGCCTGGCTCTGCCCCAGATTTGCAGTGTGGCTTCAGGCACGCTCTCAACCTCTCTGTGCCTCCACTTCCTTATCTGTCTAATGGGGATGATACGGTGTCTACTTTCATGACCAGTGTGTAGGTGCAAGAAAATGATGCATGTGAAATACTTCGCTGGCCACTGGCATCTTATGATCCTAGTAGCCCACTTTACTCCAGGTCGGGAACCTTTACATGCATTGAGTTATTTACTCCTCAAAACACCCTATCAGGTTGTTCCCCCTCATTTCATAGATTTTAGAGTCACACAGCTGGTAAGTTGCCGAGCTGGGACTCAAACCCAGGCAGCCTGCCCTCCCTGGTGCACGGCCAGCCAGAGGATGCCCCAATTTCTACGGAAACTTCCCTTCCCACCGTGTTCCAGGGCTCCTGGGACAGAGGCCTCCACACAGGCCCTGAGAGCCCTCGTGGAGTGGGGGTCTGATCTTCCCACCCTGAAAGCCCCTCTCCTCTCCAGCTGCTCTTGTTTACCTAGGAGGCCTGCCAGCTCGCCCCTGGCCTCAAGCCAAGCCCAGAATAACAGAATGTTGAGCAAGTCCGGGGTGGGGGAGCACGGGCTAGGGTGCAGGGCCAGGCTGGGGCCCCCTAGAAGCACGTGTGCCTCGGGGCCAGGACCAGGTCAGCACATACAGTCTCCCAGCCTCCCCGCCTCCCTCCCCGCCAGGCCTGGGCAGATACACATAGACATGCGCCCGGGAGACCGGGAAGCTCTGTGTTCTGTTTCAACAGGCAAAGCCCAAAGGGACTCATTAAAAGCAGAAGCAGTGAAAAGAATGATGGTGCACACGGCCTCGAAAACGCAGGATCTATAACGACCACAACACAGTGAGCCCTGCAGACCTAAAGTTGAGTGCAAGAAGCAGACACAAAAGACCGTGGACTCCACGGTTCCGCTTGTTTCAAGTGCATGGCCAGGCAGAACTAGCCTGCGGTGTAGAAGCTGGGATGGTATTTTCCCCGGCTGGGGAGAGACAGCAGCACGAGGGCGCTTCCGGGACCTGGCATGATTTTGATTTTATTCACAGGAGTGCTGGGGAAACAGGTAAGTTCAGCCTGTGAAAACGTGTCAGCTCTACACGTAGGATGCTGCTCTTTTTGTATGTAGGGTTTACTTCAAGAAAAGTTAAAAAAATACACTACTCGAAGGTTCTAGAATTAAGTCCAAAGGGGGAGGGAGGAAAGGGACTCAGTTCCAGGGTTCTCTCCATTTCTTCTTCCCGGAGATGGGGTACCGGCAGGGAATACTGCCCAGGGACATTGTGAGGCTTAAACAGGAAGCTCAGTATGTGAGGCATCTGTAAAGGCTGGGATTTTGTGTGTCTCGTTTGTGTGAACATCGGCTGGCACACTGGCCACAGATGTTGAAGGAATGAGTATAAACCTATGTTTTTATGGTCTCAGCAAATCCTCAGAACAGGCCATAGAGATGATCATGCCATTTCTCACATGGGGAAACTAAGGTTCAGAGACGTGAAACAGCTCACTGAAGTCACCCAGCAAGTTGATGGCAGAGCAAGAGTTAGAATCCAGGTGGCTTTCCCATGGCATTCTGGAAGGTGGACGGGGGACTTGACCCCAGGACCCTGAACACTGGAAGCAGCAAGTCTGCCCCCATCAGCACCCCCAGGGTCTGAGAAAGCCAGAGCTAGAAGGCTGGGCTCACAAACATAGTTAGCCTGGGACCCAGCAGCTCTACTCCTAGATTGATACCCAAGAGAAATGAGAACATTCAACCACACAAAAAGTCACACACAGCAGTGTTATTCATGGTGGTCAAAAAGTGGAAACAACCCAAATGTCCATCAACTCACGAATGGATAAATAAAATGTGGTATATCCATATAATGGAATATTATTCAGCAATGAAAAGGAATGAAGTACTGACACGTGCCACAACGTGGATGAAACCTGAAAACATTATGCTAAGAAGCCAGACACAAAAGACCACATACTGTATGATTTCATTTCTAAGAAATATCCAGATGGGCAAATATATGGAGACAGAAAGTAGATTTGTGTTGGGGCCGGCCCAGTGGTGCATCGGTTAAGTTCGCATGTTCCACTTTGGCAGCCCAGGGTTCACTGGTTTGGCTCCCAGGTGCGGACATGGCACCGCTTGGCACGCCATGCTGTGGTAGGCGTCCCACATATAAAATGGAGGAAGACGGACATGGATGTTAGCTCAGGGCCAGTCTTCCTCAGCAAAAAGAGGAGGATTGGCAGCAGTTAGCTCAGGGCTAATCTTCCTCAAAAAAAAAAAAAAGAAAAGAAAGTAGACTTGTGGTTGCCAAGGGCTGCGGGGAGGGAGGGATTTCTTGGTGGAGGGGTTTGACAGCTAAAGGGTACGGAGTTTCTTTTGAGGGTAAGAAAAATGTTCTAAAATTGATCATGGTGGTGATGCACAACTCTGTACTAAAAACCATTGAACTGTACTAAAAATAATTTAAAAGAGTGGATTGCAAGGTATGTGAATTATACCTTAATAAAGGTGTTTTTAAAAATAATTAATAATGAGCAAGGGGAAAAAAGAAGGCTGAGCCACCGAATCTAGACTTGATTCCAATTCAGGAGGCCTGCTTGGGTGTGCTGGTGACCTTGGATAACTCTCTTGCCTTCTCTGGGCCTGTTGTGCCTGCTGTCAAATGGAAGAGGAGAGAGCTGGAGCGGAGAAGCTCAGCAGCACCCCTGCCTTGGGCACGTTGTCGCACTTTTCCCAACAGTCATCCGTGATCACGTCTGCTCCTTGTCCGCCCTGTGAAGTCAGGGGGCCTCCGGGGG